AATTTCGTCCCAACTTTTCATACCCCTCTTGATAGGTTATTTTGAGGTATCCTCTTCAGCGAGTACAACGGGATCTTCAGGGTGTCTTCAATGTCCCTTGATGTTTTTGTTTTGTTTTTACAGTCATGAGTCTTTCACTCTTTCTGGTACGCACCTCAACAGTTGGGACATGTTTCTTCCTTGTGATCATAGACTTGACCTAAATTGTCAATTAAGAGCCATTGTTATAGACTTGACCTAAATTGTCAATTAAAAGCAAATTATGTAACAGGTATATTAAAACTTACAGGATCACTGCAAGTTTCTTTGACATTTCCTGGAGGTTTGAATGCTTTGGAGATCTTGACTTTTGGTGCAGTCTCATAGAAGATTCTTACACCATATGACATTGAAGGGCTTTTGTTTACTACATGTTGTTTTTTGACAGGGCTTAGGTCAACTTTAAGTGGTGGAATGTCAAGAACATTTTCATCTTCATTGTTGATATCATTGAGAATTATTGCAAGTACATCTGGATCTATTTCATCAAGGTATCATGTTCTATTTGGATTTGGTGCCTCGTTGACTGGAGGTGGTTCATTATTTTGCTCTGCAGCCTAAACAGGTTCATCAGTCTGCATTCCAGCCTGAACAGGTTCATCATTTTGCTTTGTAGCCTGAACATGTTCATCATTTTGCATTGATGCCTGACTTGATACCCCATTTCCTTTCTTATTCAGTGACCCTTTTGTCTCCCCTAAAAAGCATTACACAGATACTAATAAAATACAATAATACTCATCATATGTTTTTACAAATATTAATCAAAGGCACAAGACTAACCTTTTTTGAGGTTGCCTTTTGAACATTTCCAGTCTGACTTGCCTGTGTAGGCAGCTCATTTGTTGTGATATTTTGGTTCTTGTGTAGAACAATCTGTTTGTTCTTCTTACATGTCCTAGTGTTGTGACCATACTCCATAGATGTCTTGCATCTATGAGTAGTATTAGTTCTTTGCTACTTTGTTGCATTTGATTCACCATGTTCCCTTCTTCTAAGTTTTTTTGGCCTCCCTGGGCCTTTTTTGAACATATGAGGGAAAATGACATGATCATTTGTTTTGGGCCACTTATTTTGGCCATTCAGAGGAGTGATATCTTATTCATAACACTTGACATAAGTTGATTTGTGATAATACTTATGGACATGATTAATGAGATCATCTACTTTCCTATGGATTGCAGAACATGCATGTCTACATGGAATGCTAATGAGATCCCAAAAGTTACATGAACATGTATGATTAGCCAAGTCAACCACAAAAATATCAGTAAATATGAAATGGGTAACTTTGAAGGTCAATTATCCTGCATAAGTTGTTGTCCAACTTGCACTCATTTCAATATCTCTATCCAATCTCTTAATTGGTTTATACATGATTATATCCTTATACCCATTAACTTTTTCCCTTAAGGTTGCAAACCTACCCATAAGATAAGACCTAATCCATTCAAACATAGTTATGATTGGTTTGTCCCTTTGAAGTAAGATAGTTGCATTAAAGGGTTCACTTAAATTATTCATCAAGACATCACACTTAGAATACAAAGGAAAAGCATGCTTACACCACCTTGCTTTTGGAATTGCCTTTAACCATTCATAAGCATCATTGTTGACCTCTTTGATTTTCTGCATGTATTTTTCATGAGCCTCAAAATATGTTGCCTTTGCTGCAGCCATCATGAGATCCCTAAAGAGGGTACCACCTCCAAACCTCTTCTTAAATTTAGCATACAAATGTCTCACACAAAACCTATGTTCAAGTGCTGGATATTTCTCCCCAAACACATGTACAAGACCCTGAAAAAACAAGTAAAATAGCTCATTTCAAATGTAATTCAAATAACTACTAATAAACCAAATAGACCAATAGGTTTACACGCCCTTTGTCGGTCATATATGAAGCACCATGTTCTTTCACCAATGTCTTCAAGAAGTAGCTATATAAACCAACTCCAAGTGTCCTCTGACTCAGTTTCAACCACTCCAAAAGCAATGGGTAAATACTGGTTATTAGGATCTCTTCCCATAGCTATTAATAATATCCCACCATACTTGCATTTTAGATGACGTCTATATAGTCCAATAAATGGCCTACAATCCAACTTCAGAGCTTTCTCTGTTCCATCAAAACACATATAACTCCTTTTAAACCTTGGTAGTAAACCTGGACCTGGAGTTTGAATGTTCAGCTTGAAAGTATTTCCTAGTAAAGCCCTCCTCAATTCAGCCCCATATGACCATAATAAACTGTATTGTTTGCTAGAATTTCCCTCCACTACCCTTTTAGTAATTCGTCTTGTCTTAAATGCCCTACAACTAGAAATTCCAGTAGCATACCTCACACTAACATCTGCATTACACCATTCAACTTCATTTTGTTATTGTTCTTCATTCTATCAATAATTACTTTTGTAACCTAATCAACTTTGACACTCTTGTTAAAAAACTGTCTTCCACACTTGTGTTTAGCATACAATGTCTTAACTCTAAATGTTGTTGATGTTAAGACTTTACTGCATAACACAATGTAATTACATTGTGCTTTTTCCTTGCAAAAAACCCTACATCTCACTACATCAATTTTCTCAAATCTGACATCCCTCCCATTTAATACACTATGTTCCAAAATAGAACTCTTGAACTGTTTTAATGATGAAAAATTCCATTCCCACCTTAAATTTAAAATCCTTGGATATTCCATCTTCCTCATTGAACCTAATAACATTTGGCATATCATCACCACTGTCATCTCCAACACCATTATCGTGCTCATCAGTTAAATAGTCATATTCAATTACATGTTCCTTATCCATCTCTGGTGTAATCAAATTAGGTTTCACTGCATCACCAGAGCCTGCACCATCTATAGTAGGTAAGTTTATGGGCTAACCACCTAAAGCCTCATCAAAACCCTCATCAAAACCTTCATCAAATCCCTTCATCCTTTTTTCTTCACTATCCTCAAACTTGACATCCTTCACAGACTCATCACTTGAACCCTCATCACTACATAGTTCAACATCATCTTCACCTGTTATCCCCTTGTTCCTCTTTCTGCATTCTCCATAAATGTTGGAACCCCTGTAGTTGGTTTCAGATCAGTATATATTTCAACCTCACCTTGGTAGTTATAGACAAATGCAGCTAACTCAAATGCATCACCATCGTCCCTAAATGGATTTAGATCAATTTCTAAACTACCATCACCATATTTCCACCACATCTTAACATTATTGTATTAAAACCCATGATCCATTCCCTTAATTAAATCACACGCCTAAAAAAATGACCAACTATCAGAATATTAACCATTAAAAGCATAAACTTCCCCACCCTCATACTTTAGCATTGGATCTTTTAAAAAGCAACCCTTTGTGTAAAATACTACCTTAAATACACCCATTCCTACACAATGGATGGAAAAGGACAGTCAACATTGGACCCACATATAACAATTGTATAAAGAAATCCATATTCAGTCAATACACTACAAGTAAAATACAAAAACCAGACCAAACTACAATAAATTAGAATATAAAGTTAAACATGTGGACCTACCTCGGATTCAATATCGAGGGACCACAAGCATGCACCTTTCAAATTAATTTTGGGACCACAAAGCAATCACGATAATAATAGAAACAAGTCTCTGCAACCAAAATGAAAATACACAATGTGTTACAAAGGTGATGTTGAACCAACTCTAAGAATCCGATGGAAGAAGAAAGGAATGGAGTATGGAACGAATACAAACCTTTTGCTCAGAACAAACCTAACACTTAGAGTTGGAGACGATGAAATTTGTTAGGGTTTTCTTCAAGAACAAAAATCCCTTTTGTGTGCTAAATGCTTTTCTAACTTTTTTTAAGTGCATATATCAGTCTTTTAAGTTTTTAATGAAATGTGCTTCCACCGTTTGGTATCTGTGTCATAGAGGAATGAAAGTTTAAAGTTGATGGGTCCCAAACTCATAATCTTTCCTTCCTATATTGCGAAGAAAATAAACATAAACCATTAATACAATCAAAATGACCAAAACATCCAATTTGTGAATATATTTTTTGACAGAGCAGTTTTATTACCTCTTCAATTTATCAATTTTCTCATTTAAATCTTTTAGAAATAAATTGTTATATTTTTTTTAATAAATAAATTTAATTCTTAAAAAATATATTTTACGATATTTATATAATATAATTAATTATATAAAGTTATTAAATAGATAACATAAATTTGGCAAAGGATATTTTAAAGAAAAATTATGAAGTATTGTATATTTTAAATTATATAAATTAATAAAATAAATATTATTTAAGATCATTTAAATGTTTTTATTCAATTTCAGATAAAGGTTATTTTAGTCATTACATAGTATTATATCTTTCTTTTCTCTCACTTTCTATTGACTTTCACTCATAGCAAACAATTGAAAAATTATTCCACTTTCTTATAAATTTTTTTTTTTTACTTTCATTCTTTTAAATTCTTTTCTTTAACTTTATTTTCGCATCCAAACATAGTATAGGGCAGGGTAAAATCACTCAACTTTCTCACTTTCTATTTTAGTCATTACATCGCTTTATGAAATTTCTAGAAGGAGATGAATAATTAACGTTTGCGTTGAGTTAGGCGCAGCTTAATTCCAAATCCAACAACACATATAATCCCACGTGTCTGATTGTACGGTCCAGATCACTCAATAAATTCAATTCTTTTAAATCCTAAAATAATAATAAAAAATGGAAAGGGAAGAAAGGTCACAGTCAACCGTTGAACCACAAAGTCTTAACAAGGCTGCTCCTACCTTAATATGGAGCTCACCTGCCCACGGTTCCGTCACAACAACCACACCGCCACCGTATAATAATTACTTCCTACGCCCCCATACTCTGCTGCTATTCCATTTCACACCCCCAACCGAAATCAAATTTCACTGTTTCTTCTCAATCTCATACCTTATGGCTTCCGTTGAATCAGAAGAACAAGTTCCCCAAGTTCAAAACAGCGTCGATGAAGATACAAACAACAAGGCGGAGAAGCTCAATAACAAAACCAAAAGCACCAACACGAAGAAGAAGAGGAAGAAGAACAAGTATTTTCCTAGATTTAATTGTTTTAGAATCGATTACGATGATGCAGGTGATGGTTTTGATATCCAAGTTGTTGATGCTTCTGGTCACAGTTCTAACCCTACTCATTTGATCGTTATGGTTAATGGTCTCATTGGCAGGTTTTTTTTTTTTTTTTTCATCACTCACTCATTGATTATGTGATTTTGATTAGTCAATTTGTTTGTTAAGTAATAATGGATGTTTATCGTAGTGCTGAGAATTGGAAATATGCTGCTAAACAGTTTCTGAAAAAGTACCCCTATGATGCTATTGTACATTGTAAGTACTCTTGTTCCTGGTATTTTCCTCTTTTGTCATTTTTGTTTGTTAGCTTATCTTTGGTTATGCGGTGAACAAAATTGATTTGGGATAATTGATAATGATTTATGTTGGATAAATTTTTGTAATAGTGGATTGAACAGTAAACTCGAGTGTAAAAATCACGTTTAGACTCGAAAATTACAAATCCTAGTTTCAAGTAGAATCAATTATGGAAAACATAATCAGTTCTGGATGCTCCAAACGTAAAACCAAACATACACTTAATTATTTGAGGGTTATTATGATCTGTTTGATATTTGGTAGTTGTTACAATTAGATCAGTACAAGGATTTTCAGTTTATGAAGTAATTTCAATATGTACTTTTTGAATCTGTACCATTGTATAGTTACAAAAGTTAGGTTTTGATCTCAGTTTCAACTCAAGTACCGACAAATTTTTGGGATAGGTTCTTGTTTGGCATGTCCTATTACAAAGGGGGGGAACTTTGTGCTGTTGTTCATTTAGTGCATGGTTAATTCCATTTTAGAAGAAGACAACATTGATTTTAAGGTATAGAATTGATTATTACATGTTTGGGTGCTCTTGAGTTGAATTGATGTTGTCTCTGAAATTGATTCTGAAATGAAGCCAAAATTTGATATTTGCATTTACAATTGATACCCAGCCTTGTTTTATTTTTAAACTAACTGTTACAAGAATGAATTCAAACATAAATGACTTTATGTTTAACTCAATTTTAATTCAAAATCAACGTTACAAAATCAACTCGTTCAAAATCAATGTTACAAAATCAACTCGTTCAAAATCAATTTTTATCACCGCATAACTAAACAAAGGAGCTCTTTGGTAGTTACATTTATATCAATACTAGACATTTATTGTAGTATGCAGTCAGCTTTATTCTTCTGCTTTATTTTTATTTATTTTTGGCAGTTAGCAAGGTTAATTTTGTTCCTGACATTTTAGATTATTTTCATTCTCTTCTTTAATTCATTCTTCACAACCACAGCAAAACCGGTTTCAATCATTTGATGTAATGCATCACTATTTTGCAATGCAGGCAGTGAAAGTAATTCTTCAAAGTTGACATTTGATGGTGTTGATGTAACGGGAGATAGATTAGCAGAGGAGGTGTGTGATGTTTTTGTCATTCAAATCTAACAACCTTTGTAATTCTTTATTGCATTCACAGTTCATATTGAATTTCTGTGACACTATAACTATTTGCTGAATCTGTGTCAATCTTATGAGTTAGGACATTGAATTGACTTTAACTCTATTATATCAAATCCAGAAAGATAAAAGATGGTTTTTTTCCTTCTCTTTTCTCAGGTTATATCAGTTATAAAACGCCACCCAAATGTTCAGAAAATTTCATTTATAGCTCATTCTTTAGGTGGCTTGATTGCCAGGTATGCAATAGCCAAGCTTTATGAACAAGATATTTCTAAGGAACTTTCTCAGGGGAATGAACATTGTGAGAGTCAGATTTCAAAGCAAGAATGTCATGATAGAAAATATGAAGGAAAAATTGCAGGATTGGAGCCTATTAATTTTATTACGTCTGCAACGCCACACCTTGGTTGCAGAGGGCATAAGCAGGTGATTCTTTTAGCCTTTAGTATATTATGTTTTTTATATTAAATTTTGCACGAGTTCTCTAAAGCAGCTTTGCCGCAAGCTATGTAATTTCTGTCTTTTGGAATTTCACATGCACCAGGTTCCTCTGTTTGGTGGATTTCGCTCTTTAGAGAAAGCAGCATCCCGTTTTTCATGGTTTCTTGGTAAAACAGGGAAACACCTATTTTTAACTGATGATAAGAATGGAAAACCTCCTCTTCTTCTCCAGATGGTGTCTGACTCAGAAGATATTAAATTCATGTAAGTTTATAATTTGGCCGGTTTGATTTTGCGACCTGCTAATGGTTTAGAAATTGATCCATGAGCAAACATAATATTACATCTCTTTTTCTACAGGTCTGCTTTGCGGTCCTTCAAACGCCGCGTTGCCTATGCAAATATTCGTTATGACCGTATCCTTTTAGTTCGGTAGCATTAACCATTGGATATTCTATTATTATTATTATTATTATCACAGTTCGTTTCCACTTTCTGTAAGTTTACATGAACAACTTGACTCATAAATAGAGCTGGTTGGATGGAGCACATCGTCTATAAGGCGTAGAAACGAGCTTCCAAAGGTAGACCATCAAGCTCATGCCGTATACACATAATTTATGTGAAATGTATCTAACAAGATTTTTATTCAGCGTCGACATCTTAAAAGACACGAGAAGTATCCACATATTGTAAACGAAGAGACAGCAAAACCCACTTCTGTTTTAGAGGAGGTTCCAAGTAAATCCAAAGTTAGTTGTGGATCCTGTAAAATTGACTTGGAAGGTATTTCATCTTTTTGAACCCACAAACTTCATCTTGTCTAATTGATATCTAACATGTTCTTCTTGAGAAGCTTGGTTGAAGCTCAAAAGTTAAGCATTTTTGCATGCTTTTGCCAGATCAAATGGCCCATGAAATCATAATTGGAAATAGAAACCCCAAATCCAAGTTGATATTGATATCATTTGAAGATTATTTAAAAAAGTGTTTTCTTTGGTTTAGTTAATTTTTCATATTATTGTAGGTATTCTGGTGGAGTAAGATATTGACATCACACTTGTCTCTCTCTTGAGGTCTGTTAGATATCAGAAACAAGTGATTCAGTTCGCGACATATATCTTAAAGGGAGAAAATTTTCTAAAGCCTAGTTTGGATTAGCTTCTCAATTAAAATGAACTTCTCAATTAAAACGAACTTATGATTTTCACTTGTGAAGAAGTTCAAATGAGCTTATAGGTGTTTATGGAGAAAATAAATAACAGAAAATTTCTTGAAAACTGAAATGTAGAAGCTAGTTTTAACTTATTCGAGAATGAGAAGCTGGAGTTTGAAAACTTCATGATTATTTTCATAAGCATTTGTCCAAAACTGAGTAGATTTACTCTTAACAAAAAGATTTTATGCATGCATAGAGGCGTACTTTTTGTTTGCACACTTAAATTGGAAAGCTCATATTCATACTACTGTCCTCTTTGTGCATTTTCTAATGATTAAGAACCTTGACAAACAATCATGCATAATGCATTATTATCTGCTTGCCTATTCAACTTACATTGTTTCTGTTTCTGGTTGAAGATGTAGAATTAATTATTTGTATTTTGGAACGTCGCTAAAATATATAACCATATAACTAATAACAACACTTGCAGAGGAAATGATCCAAGGGTTAACAACTGTGAGTTGGGACCGTGTTGATGTCAGCTTCAGTGGTAGCAGGCAGAAATATCTCGCACATAATGCAATTCAGGCAAGCTAGTTTCAGTTTTGTGAAAATATAGTTTATGTTTATTGACAGTGATTTTGACAAAATTACAATGTGCGACCATTATTTTGGTATCAACGATATTCTTCGAAGTTTCAACAGAATTACAGTTCACTGTGGTTTCGTCAAACTCAGTGTTACACTGGGGTCATCAACATCACTAAATCCCTGTTTTGAAAAAACCTAGCAATAATAAGATGGCTCTTGCAATATTTGTCCTGAGTTTTAACAACTATATATGTTTTCATCAACATGCTTGAAATTTTTATTTATATTTCAGGTTCAGACTTACAGCATCAATTCCGATGGAGCTGATGTGGTCCAACACATGATTGATGATTTTCGATTATAGAACCCTTCTATCTGATAGAGTAATGCCACTATTTTTTTCTTGGGGGAGACGAGCCGGGAGAAAGTTTGTGAACATTCCCACCAACTTATTTTGCCACTGAGTAGTGATGAAGGGTTTGTGTAGCGTGCATGATGGAGTTATAGGTTCAAACTTGAGCCTTTGTTGTGTACAAAAATGCCATTGGAAGTTGAAAATATATATAGCCCAAGAAGGCAAGTACTAGGACACCAAAGAGAGATATATATGTTGATGAAAGTATGGAATGTGGCAAGTAAATGCATCACTGCCACAAAGAGGATGCTTTTATGTTACCCATTCTATACGGTTGTATAATTAAGTTTTTGAATTAGCTCTTGTACCCGAAAGGAATGGGAAACATGATTTATTATTTTTACTTAAAGTTAATAAACACAACGTGTGCATGAGATTTGAGATGTTTCCAAGTTTGCTTTAAATGATGTAATTGCTATTGTGCTCAATGTAAAGATAAAAGTGTTGTATTTTGAAAGTAATGTTTACCCTCATGGTTTCTAATCTTTTGGCCTTTTGGGAGCGCTGTTCCCTCTTTCTCACCAAAAAAGAGAGAGAAAAGAACATACAGTATATACAGTACCAGATAAAAGCTGCACTGTTCAAGATAGTTTTTGTCATATAGCTCGATTCAGATTTCAATATCATAATTTTATATCAAACAAAAATAAAAATCTGTTAAAGTGTCCCATAGTATATAATACTGTACCTCTTTCTGTAGATGCTAATGTCGGTGAGATTCTTCAATCAGGGAAATGTCCTTGGCTTATTATTATTATTATCTTCTGCCACGGCCACGAAATGCGAATATATAAAAAACAACATCAATAATTTAAAGACTAAACTTAAAAGTTTAAGTAGAAGTGTTTTCAGGGTTTGATTGGTTACGATTAAACCAATAAAAAATATGAATTTGTTTGGATGAAATTCGCACATTTTTGTAATAAAACTTAAACAAAATTAAACTGGAAAAACAATAACTTGGTTTGGATTGAATTGATGAGATAATATTAAAATTAAATATGCAAAAATATTTGGAAGACAATTTCTTTACAATTATTTTTTTATAATATTATAACTTTTTTTCATAATATTAAAAATATTTAATAGTGCTCAATTATCAAACACTAGACTATCAATTTGTTCACGGTAGATTTAAAAATAAATAAAAAATCTAACACAAAATCTGTTGAATATACTACAATTAAACTCTAAGCTCGATTAACACAGCAGAATAACAATAACTTTTTTTGGTTTTCAATTTTTTTCTATCACAGGTATAATTTGATTTTCAGTCCTCTCTCGATTGTAGTTGTGAAGATCGAATTGTAGCTTTTTCTATTAAATTCAGCGTCAATTACTATTGAATTTAGGATTTTAAAAATTAGATTTAAATTTATATTTTGTATTATTTTATTGCGAGTGATGAATATATTTTGAATTTGAATTTAAAGAACTAATGATATTTGAAATTTTGTAGGTATCATAATATTTTTTAAATATTTAGTCATTCAGTTTGACCGATTTTATAAATATATAATTTTATTATAGAGATTAACTTATTCAACCGAGTTATCTGATTTAATCATATAATTTGACTAATAATTCAGTAGTTCGATCAAGTGATCTAATATCCTCACACATTTAATAACCGGTTTAATTTTTAAAACATTAACGAAGTAGTTAATGATATAATAGCAATTTTTAATAATAGATTAAATCAAATTAAAATAATATGATTTGTCCATAAATCTTTAAAATCAATTTAAAATAGAAGTAAAATGCGTAGAAAATACTATAGCAAAACATGCACATTTAAAATAAAACAAATCTAAATGGCAGCGCTTAATTCTTCTTCTTGATGAACACGATTGATATCATCATACAATGATAATGAAAAAAAATAAACATAAAGAAGATAACAATTTTTCTGCAGAGTTTCTCTCTGCCTACAAATTATGGAAAACTTTGTTATTCACTTGCAACTGCAAATTCTATGAATACAACTTAATTGACTTGGTTACAAAAATAGGAGTTACTCTCTCTATTTATAATTTTAGGTTAGCTTGCTCGCTAAATCAAAGTCCAAAACTATAAAAAGCTCAAAATATCTATTTTGGAACTAAATCAAATCTATCTATTTTAGATTTAAATCAAATCTATCTAAATCTAAAACAAATTTGTGTTAACAAAACGGTTCTACACTTCTAAATCAAATCAATATTTTTCGATATTTCTTTGTTTCTGTCGAGCAAACTGCTTCGACACAAGGAATTACTTTCAACACATCACCTAATTCATTATGTTTAAGCTATCTATGTTCATCATAACTCTTAGTCTTCGAAATACTTTGACTTGCACACCATCGTGATGTCTGCAATCTGATTCTCAGTTCTGTTGTATTCGAAATTCATCTTCCCATCAGCTATCTATTCTCGAAAATAGTGGAACCTAATTTCGATGTGATTGCTTCGACCGTGACCTATCGAGTTCTTCACTAGATTGATAGCTGACATGCTGTCGATCTTCATGGTAATTGCTCCATGATTTTTCTCAATTATCCCTTTGATCAAGTTCACCATCCAAGTTGCTTGACATGCACAAAGAGAAGGAACTATGTATTCTGCTTCGCATGATGATAATGTTACTACTGGTTCTTTCTTGAACTCCAAGCAACTGGTGTACCAAATAGTATAAACACATAAGCTGTTGTGGATTTTCGATCCTCAACATCACTACACCAACTTGAATCAGTGTATCCCACTAACTTGCACTCTTTTCCTTTATCATTTGCAGGAAACAAAATGTCATAGTCGAGAGTTTCTTTCAGATACCTTAGTATCCTCTTCGCCGCTGCTAAGTGTGATACATTTGGCTTCTGCATGAATCTACTTACCATACCTACATTGTATGCTAAGTCAGGCCTTGTGTGGCAAAGGTATCTTAATGATCCAATAAGTCTTCTGTATTGAGTTGGATTGACATCATCTTCTTCTGAATCTTTTGATAGTTGCAGTCTTGGCTCTACAGGTGTTGAAGTCGAGTTGCATTCTTCCATCTCAAATCTCTTGAAAATTTCTCCAGCATATCTTCTTTGATGCATCATCAAACCTCTACTGCTCTTGTAAAATTCGATGCCAAGGGAATATGAAATTTCACCCAGATTATACATTTCGAATTCCTTGTTGAGATCACGTTTGAAGTCTTCGATATCCTTCTTACAGCTACCTGTTATTAACAAGTCATCAACATAGAGACATAGTATAAGCAATTTACTATTTCTTATTCTTACATATACTTTATTTTCAGTTGTGCACTTCATAAATTCCTTCTCCCTTAGGAAACTATCAATCTTCTTATTCCAAGCTCTTGGAGCTTGCTTCAATCCGTACAAGGCTTTATGTAGCCCGTACACCTTTCTCTCTTTGCCATGTTTCACAAACCCAATTGATTGTTTAACATAAACTTATTCGTCTAAGGGTCCATTCAGGAATGTCCACTTCACGTCTATCTGACATATGTGACAACTGTTTATTTCTACTAGACCAACATCAAACCTGATTGTTTTGATCCTATCCACAGGCGCACAAACTTTATCAAAGTCTATTCCTTCTTTTTGGAGAAATCCTTTCGCCACGAGCCTCGATTTGTGTCGAGTTACTTCCCCTTTGAGATTCGTCTTCACTTTGTATACCTATTTGACATTAATTGCCTTATTGCCTTAAGGTAATTCGACAAGTGACCAAGTGTTGTTGTCTTTGATGGACTTCACTTCTTTGTTCATTGCTTTCATCGACTTCAAATCTTTCAATGGTTCAGCTGCATTGACAGGTTCAACATCTGCATAGAAAGTATAATGCCCTGGATCACCTTCGTTATCAACCACATCATCTGATGTAATCACATAATCTTGCAACCTTGCATGCATGAGTCTTGTTCTTTGAGGTCTTCTTGTACTGGGTTGATCTATAACTGCTGGTTCCTCTTGTCGAACTTCTCTTTCGACTTGAGTTTCTGGTTCTTCAACTAGGATTCGTAGGTTCCCAGTGAATCTTTCTTGACATTTTCAGTCCAATTCCATTCTTTAATATCATCTATGATCACGTCCTTGCTGATCACAATATACTTGTTCACTGGGTCGAATAACTTGTAACCTTTCGTCGAATGATATCCTACTAGGATCATCTGACTCGACTTGTCATCAAGTTTTCTTCTCAACTGATCTAGAACATATCTATGTGAAATAGATCCAAATACCTTCACATGATTCAAGCTAGGCTTCACACTACCAACATTCTTCTGGCATAATTCTTTCTAGCTTCTTTGTTAGACATCTGTTCAATTGTATGTTGCAGTTAACACAACTTCACCCCAAACTCTTTAGGTAAATGCTTGCCTTTCAACATACTTCTCACCATATTCATGATGGTTCGGTTCTTTCTTTATGTAGTTTCATTCTGCTGTGGAGTGTAGGGTGACACCACCTCATGCATAATCCTTCTTTTTCACATAACTTGTTGAAGTCTTCCGACACATACTCTCCACCACCATCAGCTCTCAAAACTTTGAGCTTTCGACCACTTTGTCTTTCGACCATAGACTTAAACTTGGCAAATACCTCGATCACTTCACTTTTCTTCTTGATCAGGTAAGTCCATAATTTTCGACTGTAATCATCTATGGATGTAACAAAGTATTTGTTACCTCCCATCAAATCCACCTGGATTGGTCCATATACATCAGAGTATATGACTTCGAGAATAGCCTTCAACCCGCTTCCTGCATCCTTGCTGAAGCTATTCTTGTGCTGCTTTGCCTGCACACATTCCTCACACACTTTATTTAGAATGTCAATTTCTGACAATTCTGAAACCATATTTCTTCTCTTCAAATTTATGATGTCTCTGAAGTTGAGATGTCCTAGTCGATAGTGCCATATCCACTCATCTCCGCTAGCTGCAGTCGAAAGG